TGTATATAAAATAAATAATAGAAGATCACACTTCCAAAATAATACTTGGTTTGCTTAAAAGCTTCACCCCATAATATTACACTCTTTGCTTAAAAGCTTTGAGTGAGCAATGAACAATCAGTCAAACTCAATGCATCAGAAGATACATGAATGACATATAATTAACAAATGAAAACCCTAGGGACCAACCAAAATGATGGCTAATCCTTTCTCTAAATTCTTAAGATATGCTTTCTTCTTCAAATAGGGTTTTTCTTCTTTTTAAATAACCTTCAGATCTACTGGACTTGGGCTTCATCAGGCACACAAATAGAAGAAATCAGTATAAACTGGATGCAAATCAACCTGCATAAAAATAGGAGAAAATACAAACTTTCCTAAAAAGGCTCAAGGATCTTTTTTATGAAAAGTAACAGAATCTACAATAACTGAAATTCTCACAATATACTCCCATACAGGTTGCCTACGTGTACATCAGAACACACTCAAAATTCACACAAAAATTTCCAAAATAGTCATGCCCTAGCTACCTGGTATAACATGTCTCAACATCATGTAAAACATGATGTCTGACTTACATGGCAGAACATATGGTTCAACGTCTTGCTAATCAGCATGCTGTTTTACCAAAATGCAGCCAATACAAAAACCGTAGGACTTACAGTCCTTTTAAGGTACCTCATGACTCGCTCGATAGCTTTCCAGTGCTTGTTAATCGATCTACTCGTAAACCTACACAACAATCCTACGACATATGCAATGTCGGGTCTAGTATAATTAGTGGCATACCTAAGACTGCCAATGATTCTCGCATATTCTATTTGTCTGACACTTTCACTAGTGTTCTTAAACAGTTTCACACTTGGATCATATGGTGTGCATGCAGGTTTACAGTCAAAGTATTTATATTTCTTTAAGATCTTCTCTACATAGTGTGATTGATCCAAAGAAATTCCTTGTTCAGATCTCGCGATCTTGATACCAAGGATCACGCTTGCTTCTCCAAGGTCTTTCATACTAAAGTTGTTGCACAACATTGATTTCACATCATTAATGGTTCGAGTGTTTGATCCAAATATGAGTAGATCATCTACATAGAGACATATGATAGTGCAAATGCGATTTTCATATTTGTAATAAACGCATTTGTCACTTTCATTCACTTTGTACCCATTATATATCATTAAGTTACCAAACTTTTCATGTCATTGCTTAGGAGCTTGTTTTAGTCCATACATAAACTTGTCTAACTTATAAACCTTGTTTTCTTGTCCATAGATCATAAACCCTTCCGGTTGTTCCATATAGATTTCTTATTCTAAGTCACCATTTAAAAAAAGTTGTTTTAACATCCATTTGGTGTACTATTAAGTTATAAATAGCATCTATTGAAATAAGTACCCTAATGGATGTAATTCTAGTGACTGGAGAAAAAGTTTTGAAGAAATCTATATTTTCTCTTTATCTAAAACCCTTGGCTACAAGGCGAGCCTTGTATTTATCAATAGTTCCATATGGTTTTAGTTTCTTATTCAAAACCCATTTATAACATATTGGTTTGCAGCCATGAGGCAAGTCTACTAAGTGTCAGGTCTTGTTAGAATCTAGAGATGTTATCTCATCATTTATAGCTTCTTGTCATAAATATGCATCTAGAGATGACAATGCTTCTTGAAGATTTATTGGATCTTCTTCTACATTTTAAGCCACATAATCGGGATCATAATCTCTAGCAACTCTTACTCTTTTACTTCGTCGAAGTTCTGTTTCAACATTGTTGTCGCTTTTTGTGCTTCTTATCACAAGGATATGACTCGATTAAGTGCCCCTACTATTTCTCGATTTGAAGGAAAACTTGTCTTCATAGAATTCAGCATCATTTGATTCTATGATCACTTTTGCATTTAAGTCATAAAATCTATATGTCTTATTGTTTGTTGCATACCCAATGAATACACATTCATAGGCTCTACTAGCGAGTTTAACTCGTTTGGATCCGGAATTCTGACATAAGTCAGACAACCTTAAGTTCTCAAATAAGACAAGTTTGGTTGTCTTTTCTGTAGTATCTCATAAGGTAACATCTTAATTTTTGACTTGGGAACTCTATTCAGGACATATCAAACTGTCAATAAAATTTTCCCCCACTAGTGAGGTGCAGCACCAGAATTCATCATAATTGCAATAACAAGTTCAGTAAGAGTTATATTCTTTCTTTCTGCTTTACCATTCATTTCAGGAGAATATGGAGCAGTCGTCTCATGTACAATTCCATGTTTAATATAAAAATTATTAAATAACCTAGAATTGTATTCAGTTCCTCTATCACTACAAAGTCTCTTAATCTTCTTACTGAGTTGATTCTCAATTTCAGTTACATACATCTTAAACATGTCAAGTGCTTCACTTTTATTCTTCATTAAGTATACATAAGTGCAATCAGAGCAATCGTCAATAAAAGTGATGAAATAACATTTACTATTTATAGTTAAAGTTCTATCTAATTCAAATGTATCAGAATGTATAAGATCTAAGAGATCAAATTCTTTAATAATTGATTAATGAAATGTCTTAGTAATTTTAGCTTGACTACAATACTCACATTTATTTGTATCATTGACATTTAATTTAGGAATTAAGCCTAAGTTTTTATCATTAGAGATAACTCGCTTATTAACGTGACAAAGTATAGCATGCCAAATATTAAAATCACACAAAGAGTAAACAGAAGGAGAAATTTTATTCAAATCAACAGTCAACTTAAACATGCCATCAGTGGTGTACCCTTTCCCAACAAAAATATCATTCTTAGTGATGGTGTACAAATTTGCCTCAATAGAATGACTAAATCCTGCCTTATTCAAAAGAATACCAGAAATAAGATTCTTCCTAAGTTCAGGAACATGCATGACGTCCTTCAAGATTAAAGTATTTCCTGAGGTGAAGTTCAACTCAATGTCTCCAATTCTAGCAACATCAGTGGTGTGAGCATCTCCCAACAATACTTTCTTATTTTCAGCATTCGTGTATGTCCTGAACATAGCACGATTATAGCAGACATGACGAGATGTGCTAATGTCTACCCACCAACCATCACTTCCACCAACCATGTTGATTTCAGTGATCATAGCAATGGATTGCTCATCAATCAGATTAACATGTGCATTAGAGCCAACAGGTTTAGGCCTGCTCTTACATCTATTAGCCATATGACCCGATTTTCTACAATTAAAGCAAGTGAAATCCGGAGTGTCATTTCTTTGAGTTGGTGCTTTCTGTCTAGCAATTGGAGCAGATGGGCCCCTTGAGGGATTTTCATTCTTAATTCGGTTCACATCATTGTAGTTCTGATTCTTAATGGTTTGCCCGTGGGCTTCAGAACCGCACTGAATCTCTTTTTGTTGTTAGAAACAACTAAGACTTCATCCTTCTGATCTTATCGTCTAGCTTCCTCTTCAATTCAGAGGCGAGTGATCAGACTCTCAATTGAAAACTCTTTTGTTTTATGTCGAAGCAAATTTTTAAAAATTCTCCAACCAAGGGGCAGTTTGTCAATTATCACAACAATTTGAAATTGTTCATCGAGTGGTATACTTCAGTTATGATTTTATAAGCAATCTTCTGAATTTCATGGCTTTGAGCTTCCCCAGACTTTTCATCTACCATCTTATAATTCAGGTAGCGGCTGACAGCATATTTCTTTGCACTTGAATTATGCTGTCAGCCGCTACCTGAATTATAAGATGGTAGATGAAAGACAAAAGAAACTGAGAGACAAACAAAAGAGTTCAAAGGAAACCGCAAATTCATAGATTCATACGTATACAGAAATAAGAAAATGAAACAGACCTAATGAATATAGGTGGTGTGAAGATGAGCTTAAGTTTGATGACCGATGCTTCTCAGAGGTCCTTATGCGCTGCTTGAAGCAAGCTTTTGTGGAATAAACATCCCCTTCGCATATACTTTTGGAATTGATTAGAACAGGGAAAAAGGAAAATTGTCATCTCAGAAATACCGTGGCAGTGTCTTAACAGGTTGTTAACAGTGTCAGTGATCAGGAATTTAGTTACAACATTTTAAAATTTTAAGGACATTTTAAAAGGCTATAAACTATAAGGATTTAACTACAAATTGACATAAAACTAGAGGGGCCAGTGAAATAATTCAACTTCCACCTCTCTTATTGCAACTTTTTCAGAACCATTTAGCATATACATATTTATCACCATGAATACTTTTGCAGTGGTAGCACTTGAAGTAAAATATTCATAGCCATAAAGTGTATCCGAATCCTTTAAGCATTGCAATACTATATGATCCTCTCATTCATGCAATAGTGAAAAGAATCCAATCTCTTTATGATCTAAATTCAACACACAACATGTGCAATCTCTTTTAAAGTATCCAAATTCAACACACAACATATGCAATCTCTTTTAAAGTATCCAAATTCAACACACAACATATCTCTTTTAAAGTATCCAAACTCAACACACAACATAAGTCATATTTATTTTCCATTTAGAAACTAAATGGAAGAGGTTGCAACAGAGATAAATAGTTTCCTATTAACCACATTTACTTCATGACTACAGAGATAGCATAAAGAATTCTTGGCAATAACACATTTGCAAAAAGGACAAACACATTAAATGCTATGTGTGTCTATCTCAAAACTCTTAATATTACTGGTTATAATGATTAATATCATTGGTACAATCATCAGGGGATAAAGTCAAAAAATATTTCAGAAAAAAGATGATCCAAACCACAGTACTGGAGTCTGATAGAAGAGCTAGATCTATAAATTACTATAAAATCTTACAAGACACACAAATGGCCAGTGAAACAAAATTTAAAAAGACACATAAGTGGCCAATGAAACCTAATTCTGAAAGACACACAAGTTCTAATGAAACAAAATTTAGCAGTGATCTGGGCTCTTGCCTTTCCAGGAGGAGGGCAGCGTAAATAAACTCAACATCGGATAATACAAGTTACTCTGAATCTGAGGAGTCTGCATGTGTGCCCTGCCGAACACTTCTTTTGGTTTGCGCAGTGGACCTTGCACGGTGCATTGATGATTCACCCTCCAAAAAGATGACTTGAGCTTTAGCCAATCTTTCTTCCAAAACCTCTGTGCTAAAGTCATCAGTACCACCGAGTTGGTCAAACCCCACCTAATACACATACCATTATCATACATTTGTAAAATTATTTAAATAAAGATTGAAACCCTATCCAATATAGAATTTCCAGAAATATGTATCAACTTTATCAATAAGTAAGGGCCTTAATACACATACCACATAATCGTCCACTTTGGTATTCTTTATGAGGGCAATAGTAGGAAGAACAATGATCTTGAGCCTCTCAGCTAAAAATGGACTTTTTTCAGCATTAATTTTTACAAATCGAGTCTCAATATGTTGCTTCGCCAACACACTTAAATGCTTGTCCACAACCTGCAAATGAACTATGAGCACAGATGTTTCTCCTCATTTCAGTGAAATCAAATCTAAACCACGAAAATTCAAATTGTCGTCTAAGTTGCTTTTCCTCTAAAGATAAACTGATCATTCTACTTGAAATAATATCAAAGTAGAAAAACTCCTTAAATTATAAACATGACTAGTTATTAGCATATTTATCATCTGTTGAATTGAAAATCAAATTAGCTGTGAGTTCAAACCGAGTCAAAATGTAAAAACTAAATTAAACAACTTAAGTCAAATAATTTAAATTTCACAGTGAAGTCAAATAATTCTTCAAAAAAGAGCACAATATTAGAAATAAATTATGTAGTTCTAACTTCAATTTCAAAGCATAATCATGAAATAATTGATACAGTTCTAAAAATTCAAAGCTTCCAGCAGTAACATTTTACATAATCGTCAAGCTAAACGAGTTGCATCGCAATTTGCATTGAATTCCACATAGTTGATTCAACATTGAAATTCTACATAAAAATAATACTAATGCGAAGAAAACACGAAATTGTGAGAAATCGATACCTTGCAGGGCCAATTTTCGCGGAAGAAGTGACAGACGACGCGTTCGCTGGCCTTGACGATGGAGAAGAAGTCTTTCTCGGAAGGAATCTCGGTATATTCGCCGTGTCCGAGGGAGATCCAACGGCTGCGCTTCTCCGACATTTTCTTCATTTGTTGCAGCCTGCGTTCCCTAAGGGCTTCGAGATCGTCATCGTCGAGGCGTTCGAGGGCGGCGATCTCTTCATCGATCTTGTCCTCGACGGCCTGCGCAACCGTCAGAACTTGTTTCTCGATAACTTCTTCGATTTTTCCTCGGTCCATCTTCTAGTTCCAGATCTCTCTCCCTCCCTCGCTTTGCACTTCAACTTCAAATTAAGGTTAATACGACGCCGTCTTCTTTGGGTTTTGGGATAGATTTGAATTTCATAAAAGTTCGTTTAACTTAAAATACCAAACTAATCTCTAAACTTTCAATCCTAAATAAATAAAATATAATAATAAAAACATTAAAGTATCATTTCTTGTTTAAAAATATGTCTATCTAAAGATCTCTTACACTTCGTAAAAGTCACAATTTTCTCTGGAATTTGGAGATACATATCCATTTTTTTCATACACATGTAATATCAAATGGTTGAGATATTTTTATTTTGTTAAAATTTAGTTTAAAATATATTTCCATAAAATATTAGGGTGATTCTTGAGATATATCTCTGAAACAATCCTTAATTTAATATTTAATAAGTATTTCGGATATGCATTTCTAAAATATGCATGGTTAGATCAAAGCATAAACAACAACAAAAAAAACAATGGCAAAATAATGAAAAAAAACAACATAAATTAACATCAAGATAAACATTACATAAATAATCGTTAATGTTATATAAATGTAACATTACATTTCATTATACATTTTAGGACGTTGTAACATCCTTATAATATTTTCGGTTGATTTTGCAATCGTCACAGCAACTTCAGTCAGACCATATGTTGAGAAACGGTTAAATATACTTCACATAACCTTTAGATACTCATTCGTCTTCAATTCAAACATGTGTTGGGTTTAAACTCTAGACATATATTTAGGTTGAACATTCACGTGAATATCAGTTCTTAATGCTCTATGTTGGTTTTGTTGTGTGAGATATCACTGATAAGACAAGACGGTTGGCCTCTCGAATTTGGGTTAGACATAACCTCTGTTGTGGGTGATACGTGACGATATTAGACGAATGTTTAAGTTGTTTATAACATGATTAGAAGAATGCATGTGTTATCAATTGATGAGATTCAATCCCAACAAGTCTCCTTATATATTTCAGTCTTTACTTTATATTTTTTTAGTCTTTATATTTTCTGCCTTTATTTATGGTTCCTTGAACTTTTTAACCAAACCTTTTGCATAATAAACTTAGAAATATAGAGACCGTTGAACGGTAATTTTTTCCCTCACTCTGATTCATGTGGAGACGATATAAATTCCAGAGGGAATTCCTTCTAAACAAAATTTTTGCTTCTTGTCGTTTTACTGCAGTTCGAACAAAATGGCGCCGTTACCGCTTTACTGCAGTTTGTTAAGTGCAAATTTTGACTTAAAATGAACTATCTTTCTTGACACTTTTCAACTCAATTCTCATCTTTTCATAGATGTAATTCATGTTCATGTGTGATTCTTCAATTATATTGCAAATACCTTTAGATTCCTTAATGTGTGTGTGTTATTATGTAGTAATTAGGCATAAAACATCAATGAGTAATACACAAAAGATTGGACAAGGAGCCATAGAAACGTGAAGATTCTGCAATGTTCGCTGGGCGAACAATAGCGAGTAGCCAGCGAATGTTCGCTGAGCCAAGTAGGAACGAGGTCCTAGCGAGGAGGAAACCTTGGAAGTCAGTAGCTAAAGGACTCTAAGTTTGTTGTGCGAAGAATTTTTTGCTCGACCAACTCAGATATTTTCCAAGGGCGGTTTAACTGTTCTTGAGGCACTTCAAGTGCCAAAAAGGGGACTTCGCTAGGCGAATGGGTTGTTCGCAGTGCGAACATGACAAATTTTATAAAAACTATATAAGTATTTTTCTTGCTTTTTAGAAAGATATGTTATATTTTTGGGATCAGAATTTTATCTCTCTTCATTCCAAGTATATTTTAGAGAGAGAAACACAAATTCTAAGAGGGAAAAGGTAAGATCTTCAATCTCTTGTTGAGTTTGGATTTAATCTTTTGATACTTTATGTATTTCATCTAATGTATGTTTGTGAACTAGTTTTGATTCAATATTGTTGATTGTCTTCGATTGCTTATTTATGGGTCTTGTTAAATCATTTTTCAAATCTTTGATCTTAGATTTTCATCTATCAATGAGCAAACTTTTGACATGATTTTGTAAGTTGATATTCATTTGCATCAGATTGTTTTAATTAGTAGCATGAGTAGTATCTACACGGTAGAGACCACGATAATGTTTTTGACACGGACGATATTATGAGGATGCGTGATAATAGATATGAGAAACTTGTTCACATACATTTGGAAAATTAGATAAATGCATGTAAAAGGGATAAGCGTATATATGTATTATGATCATGGCGTTATATATGAATCAAACTATTAATTTGATATGGATGTTATAGTAATATTTGTTGAAGAGATTCAATCCCAACAAGACTCCGTTTATATTTCATTCTTTACTTTATATTTTTTTCGTCTTTGTATTTTATGCCTTTATTTATGGTTCCTTGAACCTTTTAACCAAAACTTTTGCACAATAGATTTAGAAATATAGAGACTGTTGACCGGTAATTCTTTCCCTTGCACCGATCCATGTGGAGACGATATATATCCCGAAGAGAATTCCTTCAAAATTAAATTTTTGTTTCTTGCCGCTTTACTGCATATCGAACAAAATGGCGTTGTTGCCGCTTTACTGCAGTTTGTTAAGTGCAAATTTTGACTTAAAATGAAACTATATTTCTTGGCACTTTTCAACTCAACTTTCATGTTTTCATAGATGTAATTCATGTTCATGTGTGATTCTTCAATTATATTGCAAATACCTTTGGATTCCTTGATGCCTTTGTTATTGTGCAACAATTAGGCATAAAATATCAATGAGTAATACACAAAAGATTGGACAACGAAGCCAAAGAAATGTGAAGATTATGCAATGTTCGTTGAGCGAACAGTAGCGAGCAGCCAGCGAATTTTCTCTGGGCGAAGTAGCAGCGAGGAGGAAACCATGGAAGCCAGTAGCTAAAGGACCCTAAGTTCGCTGTGCGAACTTGTAGCGAGGTAGTTCGCAGTGCGAAGAATTTCTCGCACGGCTAACTCAGATATTTACCAATGACGGTTTAACTGTTCTTGAGGCACTTCAAGTGCCAAAAAGGGGATTTTGTTAGAGGAATAGGTTGTTCGCACTGCGAACATGACAGATTTTGTAAATACTATATAAGTATTTTTCTTACTTTTTAGAAAGATATGTTATATTTTTGAGATCAGAATTTTATTTCTCTTCATTCCAAGTATATTCTAGAGAGAGAAACACAAATCTTAAAAGGGAGAAGGTAAGATCTTCAATCTTTTGTTGGGTTGGGATGTAATCTTTTGATATCTTATGTATTTCATCTAATGTATGTTTGTGAACTAGTTTTGATTCAATATTATTAATTGTCTTTGATTGCTTATTTATGGGTCTTTGACAAAACCCTTTTCAAATCTTTGGTCTTAGATTTTCATCTATCAATGAACAAACTTTTGACATAGTTTTGTAAGTTGATATTCATTTGCATCATATTGTGTTGATTAGTAGCATGAGTAGCATGAATAAGATCAATAAGGTAGAAACCACGATAACGTTCTTGACGCGGACGATATTGTGAGGGTGCGTGATAATAGAGACGAGAAACTCGTTCACATACATTTGACAAATTAGATGAATGCATGTAAAAAGGGTTAAGCGTATGTACGTATTCTGATCATGGCGTTATATATGAATCAAACCATATTAATTTAATATGGATGTTATAGTAATATTTGTTGGGTCTAAACTCTAGACATAGATTTAGGTTGAACATTCATGTGAGTATCAGTTTTTAATGCTCCGTGTTGGTTTTGTTGCGACGTGATGATATGATATTAGACGAGTGTTTGAGTTGTGTATAACATGATTAGAAGAATGCATGTGTTATTAATGGATGAGATTCAGTGTTATTAATGGATGAGATTCAATCCCAACAAAACTGCGTTATATTTCAATCTTTACTTTATATTTTTTCCTCATTGTAATCAACCATATATATCATTCATTCAAACAAAGCAGTTCACCATCTATAATGGTAACAAAACCATTAAATTTTTTTTTGTCAAATCTGTCTTACGACTTAAATAATGAGAAATTTGTGTATATAACTTGATAAGTACCTTGGTTTCTTTTCCAATTATTGTATTCGTTGACTACAGCATTAAAAGATAACCGTCAATAACATGGAATGGGTATAAGTGCTAAATTATATATTACGAACATGAATCATGAGAGTTACCGTAGTTAAAATTACGGTTCCTAGATTGGAAGAACGGTTAAAAACCTTGATAAATGACTCGTAGAGGTAGGGTTTGAGTCATTTTATCTGCTCCATTGAAATCCTAACTCTAATATAATGAGTTCAATGGGTCGGGTACTATCATTGGACCCTTTATCACTTACACAGTTTTCCTAGCCGTGCACATATACTATACTTAGGGCTGGAAATGAGTCGAGTCGAGTCGAACTCACCTCAGCTCGGCTCGACTCGTTAAGAATTGTTTGAATTCGAGTTCGAGTTCGAGTTCGACACGAAATTTTTTTAAGCTCAAACTCGACTCGTTATAAGTTCACGAACAGTTCGGTTCGACTCGTTAGGTTCATCTCATTAAGTTCATCTCACGTGGTTCACGAACTTAAAAACTATTTTTTTAAATATATATATTTTTTAGTATATTTGACATTTTAAATAAATATATATTTTTTAAATAAAATATTAAAATAAAATAAAAGTTATCATATTGAAATTTAACTTTATCTTCGAAATCTACTAATTCAAAACCTACACAACTTTAAAGAGATACATTTGAGAGTCTAATTCAAAAACTAATAAATTTAAGATTAAATTTGTCTAAGATTTAAAGTAAATATTTAAACCTAATCTTAAAGACAGTATAATTCTTTTCATATGTAATCGAGTTGACTCATGAAACTAACGAGTCGAACTATGTATAGTTAAAGTTCAGCTCATTTAGTTAACGAACTTAATTTTTCGCTCATACTCAACTCATTTGGTTCATGAACTTAGTTCAACGATTTAATTGTCGAGTTGAATTCCAAACTATCTTCGAGTTGGTTTGGTTCATTGTCAGCCCTAACTATACTAAATTATTTATGGTTATAATTATTATAGATAAAAAAGAAATGTATGTATCAATAATAATATTTTTAATTGTGCTTCTAATTTGAAACATAAGATAATTGTTTTAATATTTTATATACCCTGGTAACTATTATAAACAACAATTATATTTTTTTATTTATTGAATAATTGATATATTTAATATATAATAATGACAGATATAATATTAAATAAAATTTTAATTTTTTTTTAATAATGATCGAAAGGTGTACTATTTATTTTACTATTTAAAAAAAACAAAAAAATCATAAAATTAATAAATAAAATTTTATTGAGACATTAGTCTCTTTATAAGAATTATTTAGTTAGAAATGATCCATTTATTTACCAAATTATATTTATATTTGAAATAAGAGACATCTATTATCTATTGAAATCAAAATATTATAGCATGTACAATGATTTATCAACTTATGTTATACAATGAAAGTAAAATAAGAATAATATAAAAGTAACCTAAGCTCATCTTCTAACCCACCACCTTTCACAATTTAATTTTTTTAACAAAATTTTTATTAAAAAATATATTTTGTTAGTATAATTTAATGTTTATACTTTAAAAAAAACAATCGTGAAATTACAAAAATCAATAAAATTAAAAGAAAGTAAAAATTATAAAGAGAAACAAAACAAAAATCTCCAACATATATTTTGACATTTTGTGATGCTTCAAAATTTGTATTTATAAAAAAATGCTAAAATTTACAAACAACAATAGAATTAGAAAGGAATATACTTTTTTTAATAATTCAAAGGTTGTACTTAATAAAAAACAATCAAGAAAAGAAATCAATTAATATTAAATGAAAATAAAGTATTATGACATTAAATAATAAGAAAACAAATGACTATTTAAAAAAACTCAAAAAATTTACTAACCTTTTTGTTTTCTTATAACGAGTTTTTTCTGATGATAAAAATTTGAAGACACGGCTCTAATTTCTTTTTCAAAGTGATAATACTTGAAAAATAGTAAATTGATCAAGCATAATCCAAATAAATGCGTGTGCATTTTACTAAGATATAATTTTTTTTAATATATATATATATATATATATATATATATATATATATATATATATATATATATATATATATATATATATATATATATATATATATATATATATATATATATATATATATATATATATATATATATATATATATATATATATATATATATATATGAAAATCCACCAATATAAAAAACAAAGTCTGATGGTTTAAGAAGTACTAAGTAAAAGTATAAAAAAAAAAACAGTATACATAAGAAAGCGGAAAACTAACAATAGAAAATAAAGAAAAAACGAATACTCAAAAAAGAAGTAAACCCTCTACAAAGAACGCAGACCACAAAGAAACAACCAACAATCTATTAACTAGAGCTCTGACTGCCAGACCCACCATCAACAGACCAGAAAACTATAACAATAGCAAAAACTACTGATCCTTCTAGAGAGGGTCGGAACTCTTGAGCTGCTATTCGGAAAAATACAAGATAGGATTATGAAGTCAATCAGAGAAGGAAGGTGAGTTCGATGAAAATGTGTTAAGAAACTAAATCTTAGTCACAAAAATGCTCTTATGTACCACTTCTTTCACATTTAATGACGATTCAGAAAGCAGCTTATCATTATGCATCAACCAGATAATCCACGTTACAACATGCCAAATCATGACATAACCACTATAACGCCCCGATTCTGATTTCCGATTTTGTTGAGTCTTTTGATTTATTTGGGTGATTAATATTTGAATTGTGAAATTGATGTGTTAATATGTTATGTTTGCATATTATGCTATTTTACCGATTTTGAGAGTTTTCGGGGAAAATAGATTATAGGGTATTTTAGACAATTCCTAATTAATGATAAGATTAGATATTTTGTGAGAATATGATTTTGGTAGATATTTTGAGGGAAGAAATTATAATGGAAAGAATTAGAATAGAAATATATATATATATATATATATATATATATATATATATATATATATATATATATATATATATATATATATATATATATATATATATATATATATATATATATATATATATATATATATATATATATAATAGAAAGTGGAGAGAAAAGAAAGAATGTAGTAAGAAGAGAAAGAAAGAGGAAGAAGAGGAAAACTTGGAGAATCATCAAGAACAACATCTAGGAATCGATTAATCGGGTAAGGGTGTGAAATATTGTTATCTTACCAATGTATATCGTTATATATGTGTGTGTGTTTGGATTGTTGGATGTTTTCCCCATTTTTCCATTCTAGGTCAGAAAATGGTTTAATCGATAGAAATCGATGTTTTTACGGTTAGAATCTGGAATAAGTGGTGTAGTTTAGTCGAGGAATGTTAGGCTAAGACTATGGTAACTTGTAGAAATTAAATCGGGAGATTTTGTGAAGTTTTGGATATTTTGGACAGTAAAGGATTTTGAGATCGCAGAGGTTCACTAAGCGAGCAGCTAGCGAGCGAGCCAGCGAGTGGTTCGCTAGGCGAGCTGCTAGCGAGCCAGTAGCGAATGGTCCCAGACTTGGGCAGAACCAAATGACCCAATCTCGCTGGAGGCGAGTGAGGTAGCGAGGGTTCGCTAAGCGAGCTGTGTAGCGAACACTTCCAGTAGCTAAAAACCAGCCCTCGCTAGCGTGTTTGCTAAGCGAGCAGGTAGCGAACGTTCGCGATGACCTTCGCTAGGCGAATGGTGCAGCGAGCGTGACATAACAACATTTTGTTTTTGTTGTTTCCATCCACTGTTGATGCTTTGATTCTTCAACGCATAGCTTGTATGCTGTTATATGATATGTTGTGGGTAGCCGTATGGCGTGAATCCTAGATGGTGAATTATGAAGTATGAAATGTGGCCTTTTGGCAAATATATGCATTGTTTAAATTGATTAAAGGTGCATGATGATTGTGATGGAGTTCGTTGTCATTTGGCGCGATATTATGAATGCATATTGATTGTATGCGATTGTATATGAAGCACCAAGATGTGTATTCTTGTGCATTGCTTGATAAATGTAGTGATGGTGTTGAAAGTATGAATACTTTGATTATTATGAAATGTGTTGTGTGTGCAATCATGTTATAATTCTTGTGTGATGAATTATTTGAGAATGCATGGGATTAAGATGCGAGAACGGTCTTAAGTGCATATGGTTGTTGATTGCATATGCATCATTTGTTGTCAAGAGGCAATGCTTGCTAGTTTCTTAGAGACTAGTGACTTGTCCCAAACCTAGAGTGGGGTTTGAAAGCCTAGGGGACGGGCTTTTGTTTGTTATTGGTCTAGGGGAAGGACCCGGTTTAAATGTAAAAACCGAAAAATAATAAGTGTTGGTACCACATGGCATGAGTTGCATTGAGTCACATGGCATAGGTATAATTGTTGTATGAAAGTATGCATATGTGTATGAATTGTTGAACTGAGAGTTGTGAATTGATGAATAAACGTAATTGTAAATGTTTATGTGGAAATGAGTGAATTATGGATGTATGTATGATGAATGTGCTTGGTGATTATCCATATGTTTGTATATACATTGTGATGTATATGGATGACTTGTGATGAGAATGTTGATTATGTGTATTCTAAGATTGTAGATATATATATAATTATATGCATTGATTATTATGATAATATTTCTCACCCTTCTACTGTTTTATGATGCCCTATGAGGCATTGCAGAGTAGGTATGTTGGAGGTCTTTTTGTGAAGCGTGTCTTCATTCTTTTGTCAGTCAGCTCTGATATGTAGCACCGGGTAGCTAGGATATATGATTCTTTTGTGATACGTTGTATATGTATCTTGTTATGGAATGTTTATGAAAACATGAAATATTGTTGTGAATCAAACTGGATGATATATATATATATATATATATATATATATATATATATATATATATATATATATATATATATATATATATATATATATATATATATATATATATATATGTATATATGTTTGATGTTAATCAATGTGTAGATGTTTCCGCTTTTATCCTAAATATTGAGATGTGGGTATGAGGACTAAGTTCCTCTGTTGAAAGTTACCCCACTGTTGCATATCTTTATTGAGTAGGTGTTGTATGTTTTAAATTCAAGTATGATGTGGTGCACCTCTTTTATACTGTGTTTTAATTATACTCTGATGGATTTTTAATACGTACCTAAATGATTTATTTGATTAATGGGGCGTATAGAAAGGGGGTGTTACAACCACCCTTAAGTTTAACTCTACCACCTAAAGAAAGAAAAAAAACTCAAAAGAAGCCCTAGATCCTTAGAAAGAGTCAACTGAACTCCTAACCACCCCCAAAATCTTATTTGAAACACTTAAAGTTAGGTTACAAGTTACAAACAAGTGAGAGGCTGATTCAATCTTATCCCCGCAAAAGACACAAGAGATGCCATCCAGGTCGACAATGACCTTCCTTTTGAACAAGTTTTCCTTAGTATGAATTCTGCCTTGCAGGAGTTGCAAAGAAAAAACCACCACTTTAGAGGGAGCCCAACTATCCCAGAGAAGGAGAAGTAATTAATTCTCCCTAGATAAAGAATCCTTCGGTGAAGGGCAAATGCCAGCTTGGATTTGACAAGTAAACGCCACCGAGAACAACCTGTCTCTAGTATGTCTCCATACACACCTATCATTCTCTTCACTAAATTGAAACTCCTGCAGAACCAAGAAAAAATCAGCCACCATAGATTCCTCATAGACAATAAAAGATCTCCTCCAACAATGGTTCAGAGAAATCCTCTCATCTATCCACTTACCAATCTCACCTACAGTGTCATCCTGCCTCTTAGAGATGGTGAAGAGTCTTTGAAACCTAGTTTTAAGGGGTATACCCTCTATCCAAGAGCCTTTCCAAGAAGATGTCTGAAGACCTGGCCCAACCTTCTTAACAATCCCAATCTCAAACCAAATAGGAGGATTATCCTTTTTAGATCCAAGAAGGGACACTTCTTTCCACCAAGAAGAGATGGAGTGAGACTTCACCGACTGACCCTTGCATAACGAGGTGACGACGGAATAGTCATACATAGAAAAAAGGATATCGAAACAAAGACCAGAAGCACCCGACATAAGCCTCCATCTCCATTTATCTAAGAGAGCTAGGTTAACCATTCGAAGATCTCTAACACCTAAACCCCCACTCTTCTTATGCCTACATACATTAGACCATTTCACCCAAAAGTCATAGAATTCCCTTTCACACCTCCCCATAGAAACATCCTTTTAATTCTCATTAACTTCTTTCACACTTTCACATGCACTTTTAAGAAAGAGAGAAAGAACATAGGAATAACATTGAGGACCGAATTTAAGAGACTAACTCTCCCCCTAGACTTACATACTTATGACTCCAAGAGTGAGGTCTCTTATAAATCAGATTAATTAAGGGTTCCTAAGTAGCTCCAACCGAGGGTTGGCACCTATAAGAAGCCTTAAGTACTTAAAAGGAAGGGACTCAATCTTACAATTAAGAAAATCCTCTTCTAAGGCTAAGAATGAAGGATCACGTTAATCCCAATTAAGTTACTCTTATGATAATTGAATCCAATGCCTGAATCTAACTCAAACCCTCTAAATACTGCTTTAATAGCCCGTAGATTATCAACCGAGGGAACTCCCAAGATTAAGGTATCATCGGCGTACTGAAGGTGAGAAATCTCCAAATTAGAGGAGCCAACTTTGAAACCTGGGAAAAGACTAAGCTCAGTGGCCCTTTTGAGAAACCCACTAAGGCATTCTGCCACTAAAACAAAGTGGAAAGGTGCTAAAGGGTCTCCCAACTTCAGTCCCCTATGGATCTTAATCTCTTGGGTTAGGGAGTCGTTAACCAACACTGCCAAGTTGCCAGTAAACAGACAGGATATGATCCAAGATCTCCATTTATAATTAAAACTGAACCTGATAAACATATAATTTAATAAGCTCCAACTAACAGAGTCATATGCTTTCTCAAAGTCTACTTTAAAGATAAGACAAGCCTTTTTAGTGCGATTAGCCAAGTTAATCAACTCATTAACAACCATAACTCCTTCTACCAGCATTTTCCCTTTTAAGAAGACCGATTGATCAGGAGAAATCAACTTGTGCATAACCAAACCAAGTATCTTATCCAGTACCTTAGCAACCAACTTATATATAGAGCTCACCAGGGATATATGCAGAAACTCTCCAAAAGAACTAGGGTTTTTAACCTTAGGAATAAGGGTCATAAAACTGGAGACAAAACTATGAGGTAAAGAAGCAAAACAATGAAACTCAGCAAACATAATCCTCACACCATCCCTCAACAAGCTCCAAAACCTTTTGAAAAAAGAAAAATTAAAACCACCAGAGCTCAGGCTCTTATTTCCATCGCATTTGGACACCACCTTATTGAGCTCTTCAAGAAGTAATTGGGTGTTAATGCCTGATTATCCTCCTCAGAAAGGGTATGGAAAGAAACCCCACTAAGCCTAGTCCAAAAGTCATACGATTCTTTAAACCGCTCAGAGAAATGATTAACCATCTCTCGCAGAATTTTGGACCCCTCAATCCAATTATCTCCAACCTTCAGGGCTAAAATTGAATTTCTTCTACTTCTACATTTGATCGAAGAATGAAAGAAACCTGAGTTACCATCCCCCTCCTTGAGCCATTTAACCTTAGCTCTTTGGAAGAGTTCAGAGTCTTTTGATCTATGAAAATCCAAAAGATCAACAATGGTTTTGGATCTAGTGTCCACTTCCTCAAGAGAAGAACCCTTTGGTCAGCCAACAAATCCAAAACTCCAACAACAACTTTAAATACACTCAATTCGGAAATCCAGGTTATTGAACACTTGCCTATTCTAACCTTTGATAGAAGACTTAAGAGATCAAATTTTTTCCATTAGAACAAAGGCCTTCCATCCCCGGTTGGAAGAAGCAGACCAAGAATTAAGAACCAACTCAGAAAAATCAACATGGGATAACCAATTGTTATTAATCCGAAAAGGTTTTGGCCCCCATAACCAATTATCATATTTTAGAATGATAGGGCAGCGATCAGAGACATCTCTAGGGAGCGCCCATTGAGCTGCAAGCCCCTAACAATCCCATCAACCATCAGAAATCATGATTCGATCAAGTCTACTAACAACCCCACCATAAGGTTGAAACCAAGTAAACTTCCTACCCAAAAGAGGAAGATCCCAAAGATCCATCCGAGAGATAAACGATGAGAAATCAAAACATTCAACATTGTTAAAAGAGTTAACATACCCATCATTTCCCCTTCTTTCACTAGGAAATGATATTTAATTGAAACCACCTAAGACACACCAAACCTCACCTCCAAGGATAGACTTCCTCAAGCAAATATCGTCCAACATACTTCTTTTATCAAATAACAAAGGCTTGAAACACACATTAACCACAAAGCAGACCGACTTTAAAGCTCCCTACTCTAGACACACACCTAGAAAACCTAGACCCGAGAAAGAGAAAAAGGCCTTCCCTTTCAAACTACACAAAATTGAAAGAAACCCGCCAATATTGCCTATTGCGGGTTTAAAACTCCACTCACAAAAAGTATCACCCCAGAGAGAATGTACTAAAGAATCAGGTACCTATAGGAGTTTGGTCTCTTGAATTTCTACAAACTTCAAGGAGTTAGAAAGAATAAGATCCCTTACCTTCCTTCTTTTAAAACTACCCCCAAACCCCCTAATATTAAAAGAAAAAACTAGCATCTACCTTTCACCCTAGACAAACAAGTAGATCTCTTTTTTCTATTTTTCTTATCAATAGCCAAAATATTTTCCAAGTCATCATCATCACTTAATAAATACTCACAACCCAACTATTTTGTGACCCTTAAAACTCTCTTGGCTATTACTTTATCAGTACACTCAGACACTCCAGATAAAACGGCACCAGAGTCAACAAACGTGAAGAAGAAGGGGTATAAGAGCCTTCTAAACAAATGTGCACATTAAAATATGAGTATGTTTTAAATGTTTGTGGTTACTAGTTATATGTTTTCTTTGGGAAATGCAACGAAAACTTTCAATGGGTTGAACTATGTCGATCGGTTCAAAAAGATCTAGTTTTAATTGGGTGTGATAGACTTGGACATGACATTTTTAATGGATTAGAAGCCTGTAGCCGTTACGGAGGACACTACAAAAAAATGAAATGTCTCTCTCTTTAAGGCTTGGGAAAGGTCCAACAGGTTGTCTTTGAACTTGATGAAAAAGCACATCGTCTTGGTCTAATTAGAAAAGTTTCTCAATAGTTATGGAAAATATGCACAATATACTATGCTCAACACATCACAACAAAATGGTGTGGCTGAAAGGCAGAACCGTTTTCCCATGGATATGGTTAGTTCAATGTTAAATTTAGTAATGTATCATTATCATTATGGACGTATGCACTAAGGAATGTTGTATATTTTCTTAATAGGATTTCTAGAAAGACAGTTCCAAAGATTCATTATAAACTGTGGATAGGAAGCAAACCTCGTAAGACATCTTTATGTTTAGGGTTACCAAGTAAAAGTAAGGGCATGTGATCCAAATGAAAAGAAGCTTGATGTAATAACCATTAGTAATTTTTTCATTAGGTATCTTGAAAAATCAAAAGGTATAAAAAAAATTTGCTAATAAAAAAATTTAGGTGAGTTAGGCTCTAGGGGCTCACTATGGTCAGAGCAAGTCTTAAGGTTCAAAGAGCACTTATAAAGGTAGCTACCAACCACCCACCATAGAGACCCTCACATCAGCAACGAGATTTAAATCCATAACCTCTTGGTGTGTGAGTTAACTCCTTACCAACTGAGTCAATCTACCTTGGCAAAAGGTATAAATGTTATTGTCCAAATCATAGCACGAAAATAATTGAGTATGGTAACGTTTAGTTCATTAAGAAAGACCAGCTCACTAGGAATGAGTAATATTGTAAAGAGGATGTTATGGAGACTCGTGGAGAATCTTCTTCACATCAAGAATTGATTGGTGTAAGCCCTATAGGCCAATAATTTTGGTACTTGTATCGAATTACTTATTATTAATAAAAGACATTTCTTTATTATGGTTGTTTTTTAGAATAATAAAGTCCCTAGAATAGCTAGTTCATATAATGAAATATTAAGTGTGACTTAATCATGAGATCCACTAAACATAAGGACATTATTCTTAAAGAATATGTAGTCGAGCTTTACTGTGAAGTGGGATAACCTTAAAGCATTAAGACTATTATGTAGATAGACTGATGATCACATCTCATGGATCAGGAATAAGGAGTAATCAAGTCTTAACATAGGTATGAATGATAGAAGTAATATTTATACTGGATTGAACTGTTATGAGAGTACTACACAGAATGTTATACAAAGTGTCATAAGTTGCTCCCATGGTGATAGTGGTGTATACCACCCTTCGACCTGAAACCACTATGAACCCTAGATGTAGATTCGAGTACTTTATTATTGATCTAACATTGTTCGTAAATGGATGACCATAAAGACAGTTGATGGGTACTTCACAAAGCATGCTAAGGGATATGAGTGACCTAGATGGAATTTGCCCATCCTGCATAAAAAATAAATGTCTAAGGACCCAATATTGAAGTGGACAAGGATGACATTGTATATGCCTTGTGTTCATTATAGACACAAGGACAAAAGAGTAATTATACACACAAGTACTATCACAAAAGATTTTGTTAGATCACATGACATTTTCGTGACTTGGGTAGCAGTGATATGTTGTTAGATAACGCTCACTGTTTATTATATTAAATATATGATTTAATATAATTGTCAACGTCAGGAGAACCTACAGGGTCACACACATAAGGACATATTGACGAGAGATAGAATAAATAAGGAACAATGTAAAGTACGGTGTACTTGAGAGAATTATGAAACACCGTAAGGTACGGTGTACTTAAGTGAAATATGAAACATCGTATAATATAATAATAAGAGTTAATATTATTATTAATTATTATTATAGTTATTATAACATAATAATAATAAAATATATTTATTATAATAATGGTTATTATAATATAATAATAATAACAATTATTATTATTATTATTATTATTATTACTATTATTATTATTATTATTATTATTATTATTATTATTATTATTATTATTATTATCATATGGTGCACTTAAGTTGGGTTTTTAAATTGCAACTCACACAAGTGGTTCTATAAATACAACCCTTGTGTAGAAGTTTTA